AGTGATATATATATATATATATATATATATATATGTACGTATATATACGTATACATATATATATATATATACGTATACACATAAAATTTTTGATTTCAACTACACATGTTCAAGAGTGTGAGGAATTTTGCTTTAATCAGATTTCTCCCAACAAACCCCAATGACACAGTTGGTTTGGCATCTGCATAAACAGCAGAAGTTCCTATGCTCGAACATGGTTAGGACAACTTTCCTCTGCACTCATAGATCCTTTTTTTTTAACATTATGGAATTATCTTTCAAGTTTTCTATTTAAATTCCATTTTCATATTAAAATATATAGATACTATTATTATTATTATTATTATTATTATTATTATTATTATCGTTATTATTTCTCAAGTATTAAAGTTATTTTATAAAATTTATGTAAACTTTTGTGTGTGATATATGAATTACATAAAAAATGCTTTCATCCAGTTTTTGAATTCTGTTATCCTACAATTATTTTTTTATTTCAATGTGAGTAAATATTGTGATTTTTATTTTCTAAAATTTAATCTAAATTATTTTAATGCAAATGTTTTTGCTGAACTGATCAATCGGCCATATTGTTTTTTGGTCTCGTGCATAACTTAATGCTGATTAATGCATTCTGGTTACATTAATTTTCGTTGTCAACGAAGTGTATTTTACGAACCAGTCGAATGAAAATAATACTTAACGAAAATTCGTACTTAACGAAACGAATCAGTCGAATAAGCACATTGATTCCATACACATGCTTCTTATCATAACCATGGTTTTATTTCTGAGCATTTTGTATCTGAAGAAGACAAAAAACACCTAATTTTTTAATATATTTGTTCAGAAAATCTTAATAGTTGACTTTTTTAGGTGGCAGTTGTCACTCAGCAGAGTGTGCTTTTGGACCATACAGACATAGAACAACAATATTCTGAAGGTTGACAATATAGGCAGTTCAAGAGAAGGTGCTATTATTCCTGTTACTAGAGTATCAACAACAGATGCACAGCAAGAGGTTGGCACTAGTCTCATAAAATCTTAACATTGGACTCAAAACCAAGCAAAAATAGAGACTAAATCATTTTCCAATTGTACTTTCCATTTATTTTCCATGTGTTTAAGAATTTCTTTACCACTTGTATCATGTTTGTTTCTAGCTTTCAAAAAGTTATCTTATAATGAGGTGCTTATCTTCAAGAACCTGTCTACCAATTTAACATTTTATTAGTATAAAGATTATTAGGCTACATGATGTATTTGAATTTTTAAAATTTAAACTAATAAAAGTGAATTGTATATTAAAACTGTTATTTATTATGATAATAATTATTATTTATTTTATTAGAATTAGTTATAAAAATGCAAATAAACATGATCCCTGGGTACCATAATTTAAAAATCAGCAGGAAAATGAATATAGGTGAAAAATTGGTCGTTTATTGAAACAAAATACTTTGATACTCTAATGGGAACCTTTGAAACTAGAGTTTAACTCTAATTAAGTTTAGATAGACACGCCCTCTAATAAATATAAAATTGTTGCATATTGTTTACCACTTGTATCATGTTTGTTTCTAGCTTTAAAAAAAAGTTATCTTATAATGAGGTGCTTATCTTCAAGAACCTGTCTACCAATTTAACATTTTTCAGTATAAAGATTATTAGGCTACATGATGTATTTGAATTTTGAAAATTTAAACTAATAAAAGTGAATTGTATATTAAAACTATTATTTATTATGATAATAATTATTATTTATTTTATTAGAATTAGTTATAAAAATGCAAATAAACATGATCCCTGGGTACCATAAGTTAAAAATCAGCAGGAAAATGACTATAGGTGAAAAATTGGTCATTTATTTAAACAAAACACTTTGATACTCTAATGGGAATTTTTGAAACTAGAGTTTAACTCTAATTAAGTTTAGATAAGTTTAGATAGACGCGCCATCTAAAAATATAAAATTGTTGCATATTCTTAAGTTGTATGTTTTAAATATTTTTTTAAAACATGATTTTAATACATAGATGAAAAAAAAAACCCACAATTTCGCTGTACAATGCAATAAATCTGCTCCACAGGATAATATTAACACCAATATCATATACACAAATATGTTTTAATCACATAAGAATAATATCACCTGCCTCTCTCCCTAATGGGTTCCGGGCTCGATGAGGTAGGTAACCCTTCGCTGAGCCTTGGCCCGAGCCTTGGCAAAGTTGAATACTTGGTCTTGGGCATCACATGATTGTTGCATATTAATCATTTGCATATTTTATATATTTTAACATGAATTTAGTAGCCTTTATTTTGATATGAAATATAAAGTACTTAAAGATAATACTAAATGTTCATTAAAATCACTAAAAATTATGTTTAAAAATAAGGCAAAAAAATCAATTTCGCTGTACAATAACTCAATAAATAGGCCAATGTATCCTCATTGATTGCTTTTGCAGGTAATAACACCAGTACCATACGTACAATTCCACCAAATATATTCTAATCATATCCAAAATAAAATCACCTGACTCTCTCCCTGACGGGTTCCGGGGTCGACGAGGCTTCTTGTCGGTTATACGCCGGTAACCCTACGCTGAGTCTGGGCCCGGGTCTTGGCGAAGGCCCGAGCCTTGGCGAGGTTGAGT